ATCACTTAAATGTTATTTATTTGCTTTCCCTAGGATAATGTGAATCGCTTACTACTCCTTTTCATGGATGACACTCCTGTAAGTGTTTACTGTATCAATACCAATGGCACGTTTTTGTTAAGATTGCAATGTCAGTATACTGTGACAGATGAACATCCCACTTTTGTTTTCTGCAGCCTGAACAAGCAACAGAGCCAGCATCTAATTTAGTCCCATTTCTGGAAAAGTTTGCTGAGCCTAAAAATAAGAATCCCTCGGTATGTGCCAATCTAAAAATTCTTTTAGTCCTACTAACTGCCATGTCATTTTGAGTTTTTCATTAGAGTTTACATAAGAGGGGGCGTGCAAAGCTAAATACAGCTTCAATCTTTATTTCACAAAAGGTTCTGAAGCTGGAGTTGAAAGAAATCAGAGAAGAGCAGGACCTTCTGTTCCGGTTCATGAATTTCCTAAAACAAGAGGGAGCTGTCCATGTATTACAGTTTTGCTTGACAGTGGGTAGGTTCTATTTATGTAATTGTTGCATAACATCTTAATTTACAGCACATATACCTAACTATGTCATTTTAGAAATGACTGTTTGCGTCATGTTTCAGAAATGTATTATCTTTACAGAGGAATTTAATGACAGGATTTTAAGGCCGGAGTTGTCTGATGAGGAAAAGCTCTCTCTTCATGAGGAAGTGAAGAAAATCTATCAAACCTATTGCCTGGAAGAAAGCATTGATAAAATCAGATTTGACCCATTTATCGTGGAAGAAATACAACGAAGTAAGTGTGTGACCTTGGGAGCCATTGCAGAACTTTTTGCTATAAGCCGAAATCCCTCTTTTTTCGGAACTCTGTGGCCGAATTCGTACAGGCTTCAGTTTGTAAATGCAAAACTGAAGAATGGTGTGTTGAGCAAGCATTCATAGATCTTACTGGTCATCCTAGGTGCAACTTATACAATCTGTTAATTGGCTTCAGTAGGATCTCTTGCCAAAAATGTTGAAGCTTCTATTTTTTTCATTGTAATTGTATAAACTTTTGTTGCTGTTCTAGTTGCAGAAGGTCCTTACAAAGAAGTGGTAAAACTCCAAACGATGCGTTGCCTGTTTGAAGCATATGAGCATGTTCTATCCCTTCTTGAGAATGTTTTCACACCGATGTTTTGTCACAGCGATGAGGTAAACTTTTCACAAGGATCATATTTGCTTTAATACCTACTTAATTTATCGGTCTGATCTGTAAAATATGAAGTTGAGACTTTACGGTTGATTGACTAAAGGAGTAGCTACTTTTCAGTTAGAGAAGTGAATGTTCACTTTTTACAATAAACTGTCTTCACATCAATGGTAATGTGCAGAAAAAAAAATCTTGTTTTTGGTTTTTATTTTTATAATTTCCCTTGTAATTGGTTATTTAAAGTGAAATTAGCTTCACCATGTCCACTTTGCAAAGTCAACAGTCTATGCTTCTTAAAGTCAAAGTCTCTGTGAACATTAAAGAGCAATATAACACATGTATCTTCATAAATGCATAGTGCCATGTTTTTGCACTCTAGCTCTCCAGCAAACAGCACTTGAAACTACCAGAAATGTACAAGCGACACCATACAAATCATGTGTAACTTTGTGTAAATGAATACCACTTTCAGGTATGCAGGGGCCTGAAAGGGGGGGGG